CCACACACACACACACACACACACACACACACACACACACACACACACACACACACACACAGACTCCCTGACACAAAAGTAAATACACACAGACCTAGACAGACATTGCGAGCTTATCCCATTGGCCAGCTGTATGTCTGGTGATTTGTTGATGTGTTTACATCAAACGTCTTTACATCTCTAGATCTACTCAAACTCATTTTCTGTTTTCCCTTCAGACTGCATCTGTGGCCTTAACCTTCTAGATTTCTCCTCTGATTGTCCTCGACGCCTCCGGCATTCCCCCCTTCTCTCCCTCTGAGCAGTCTGCTCCCTCATTCTCCTCTCGGTTTCCCGCCATCGCGTCCAGCTGTGGCCCTCACAGGGCACGCTCGCTGGCTCTCACCTGACAGGTCCCTGGCCTCAGGACGACAGCCAGCAACAACACATTCCCTACATGAGGGACAAAGCGACGCAGGTGAGTATAGCGTCTCTTTGTGTAGTAATAATTGTGAGATACACAAAGTTTGCATTTTGTTTATATGCGTAGGCCATAATACATAGTAAAAGTATTATTACTGTTACTGGAAGAGGAAAGAACCCAAAGTGCTGACTGACATAAGGAAGAAAAATTAACAATCTTAAAAATAAATTGTAGGAATTTTATGTTGCCCTTTTTCAGGCTTATTGGGCAACAGCTTAAGATGCGTTTCAGTCATCCTCTTCCCAGGCACAGCAGGTATATGTGGGTGGTTTCTGCAAGACTGCAGGAAGAGAGGTTGGTTAGGTTTGGGAGGACATTATAGACTGACTGGATAAACTTGATCTAGGGTGGCTCAGCCTTCCATAGTTTTAACCACAAGATATTGCAGTTCATTAACTGCTCCCATAAATTCCACATTCTTTGCTGCCGTGTCCCAACCATCCTACTGCATTGGGTTTCCTCTACCCCTGCTTGGGTCAGTTCCTGGACCTACTGGCTTCTTTCCCTTCCTTGGGCCTTGCCCTATTGAGGTTCCAGAGCTCTCCACTTCCTGCCTGTCCTTACCTCTTATGCCAACCAAGGAGACTCTGGTGTTACTGGAGTCTCTATACAGCATCATCTCTGTTGTTTGGGTTTGACTGAAAACCATGAATTCTTCTGATAGTCTGCTCAAGAGGAGTCACATCTTATTCTTCCTCCCATATAAAGCTGCCTCTGTGTAATTCACAGTCCTGCAAAAGTGTCTATCTGCGTACACGCTTCAGTTCGGACAGTAAGCGGACAGATATATGCTTCCGTGCAGTCCTCTAAAATCCCAGCTGAACATAACTGTGTGTCTGGCAAATGCTGATTGGTTCACCGGTGGGTGGAACAGGGCAAACAGCTGAACAGAAGAGAACAGAAGAACCATGAAAAATATATATTTTTTAAAATAGAGAATGAAAAGCAGAAACAGTGTTTGCAGTATTTTTCACTTCCGCACTTTGTATGTTATGACTGCACTCTTTTCTGCAGCTGGCTGACAAACCAGCAGCAGCATAAGCAAGAGTGGTGCACAAACCGGTTTTACCAGACACTTTATACACTGCCTTGATAACAGAGTTCTCCACAGGTAGACAGGCCATCCCAGACTGCTAACAGACTGTCAGCGTGCTACCCTTGCTGAACCACAAATCCACTTTAGGCTACAAGGAAGGGCCAACCACCTACTAGCAATCGTGCTCCCAAACCCATAATGGCCAGTGTGACATTGTAAACCAGCAGTGTGGCAGGATGCCATGCCAGTAAATCCAGCCCTTGAACTTTACTGCCAACACTTTACTGATTTGTCCAACAATATAAGCCAGGTTTTCAGCTCTCTTGTGTTTCATGAGTTATGGTTGTGTCACTCGGTTTGCTGTTGGAAGACCTTCCCCAGGCTCTTAACTGGCTTCTCAGTTATAACATAAAAAACATGTTCTGCACCCATCCTATAAGTCAGTTCTATAAATGGGGAGTTGGTGTTGTCTGTTTAAATAATCCCTATATATTTGATTAAGAACTGTCAAATGTTTTTTGGTTTCAGCTGTATTTTTTTTCCTGTTTAGCAGTTTTAAGCTTGTGTGTTTGAGCTTTAGTTCTGAACAGTGTATGTGTGGATCTGTGTGTGTCAGACTCCCAGGGCCTGGGCAGATGAGAGGAGGAGGGGCTCACACAAACGCTCGGCCTCCTGTGGGAGCACCGACCAGCTCAAGGAGGTCACTTTCTTACCTGATTACAGGCCCAAATAAACAACAAATTACAATACGGGTCCTGGAGCATACTGAATCCCTTGTTTCTCAGCATGCCACCGTTAACACTGATGTCTGTATGTGCTCTCTTCAGATCGCCAAATTGCGTCAGCAGCTACAGCGCAGCAAACGCAGCAGCCGCCATCGGAGGGACAAAGAGCGCAAGGCCCCTTTCAATGGCAGCCACACCATTATCCAATCGCAGGTGACTAATAGAGACAGCATGCAGGTTGGAGGAAGACTGTGTTGGGTACCCGATCTGGGTTTTTGAGGACGTCCCACTTTCTCGATGTCCTTATTTAGCTCCAGTGTGTGTGTGATGTAGACGTATGTACACATTTAGTGGCCACTCATGTCATTCTACTGTATGCGACAGAGATGGCAGTAGGGCCACTCACACGTTCCCTGTGGAGTCTGTTGCAATTCAGCTGTCCTGTATTCTGGATGTCCTGGAAGAAAATGAATGACTGGCTCAGATATAGTGCATTTATGCTATAGCAAACGTTAGTTCTGATAAATTATCTCCACATTTGTTTCTTTCTATGGCATTGACCGTTTAAAGCAGAGGTCCCCAACCTGTTTTGCGCCACGGACCGGTTTGTGCCCGGCAATATTTTCACGGAATGGCCTTTAAGGTGTCGCGGATAAATACAACAAAGTAAAACTAGTACCGGTACCGAAAAAAAGAAGATTTATTCATAACACACGTGAAAAGACCCAGGAAAACCGAGTTAATGAAAAAAACGATAACAAAATAACACTAAAAACCCTGAAAACCATACATTTCACACCCGAGTCTCACTCTCGCGGTCTGGTACCAAATGACTCACACACTGGTACCGGTCCATGGCCCGGGGGTTGGGGACCGCTGGTTTAAAGTCACTAAACCCCCAGATGACGTTTGTAATAAATTCGGTTTGTCTGTGTTTTTGCAGTCACCTATGCCTAAGACCATTCTGATACCCATCCCTATATCCAAGTCGTCGGCCCCTCGTTTCCGCAACAGCGTGGAGGGCCTTAACCAGGAGATCGAACGCATCATCATCCGTGACACCCCCGAGAAGGATGAGACTATTGTTGTGAGTTTCAATGAGTTAACGTGCTCCCAGTGTGTTAAATGTCGTGTCCTTCCCTAAAAAAAACTAATCTCAGATTGGTTTCTTTTTTAAAGATTGGGGATATAATTGTGATTTTGTGTGTGTGTGTGTTCGTGCAACAGCCACAAGATGTCCCCGATGGGCACCGTGCACCCCCTCCTGTCCCCCTACAGCGAAGTAGCAGTACCCGCAGCATCGACACGCAGACTCCCTCTGGCGGGGGCCTGAGCAGTAACCATAGCAACTGCAGTAGCCGTCCCGACTCCATCTCACCCTCCTACCTCACCGTCCTCAACGACACGTGTGGAGGCAGCCCATACGAGGACAAAGGTGACCAACGCACGCATACATACAAGAGTCAAAACCAGACACATAGCGGTGCCTTTGTGAGCTCGACGTGTCGCTAACCCACCTTCTTGCTTATTCTCAGAGCTGGGACCTTGCTCCCCGCTGCCCAAATACGCCGCCTCTCCTAGACCCAACAACAGCTACATGTTCAAGAGAGAACCTCCAGAGGGCTGTGAGAAGGTCAAAGTGTCTGAGGAGTCAATGTGAGTGGAAAAGGAGGTGTTCAGCGTCCTTCCAGTTGGTGTCCTATAAAATCACATAGAACAACCAAAATCGACATCAAATATGCCAAGTACTGTTTGTGTGTGTGTGAGCGAACCTTAATTTATCTCTCCACAGTTACATTGTTGTCCAAACGCCATTAAAGGTGTCTAAGTGTTTTTCTAAGTGTGTCAAGAGTTTTGCAAAATCATGATGAACTTGTATAAAAACAAGAGGTTAACATGTAGGCTAAATATGACTCTGCATGTGTTTCCAGGCCCAAGCCTCTGCAGGAGATCCCTCCCTTTCTGTGTCCTGACCGCAACAAGGTCAACTTCATTCCTAACAGCGGCTCTGCCTTCTGCCTCGTCAGCATCCTCAAGCCCTTACTCCCCGCCCCGGACCTCAACTTTCGCTCCGGCGTGGGCCTGCAAAGCCTATCCCCATCCCTTGTGCCTCTGTCCACCCAGCCCTGCCTCCTGGAGGAGCCGGAGAGTTTCTGATGCCCCCCCTGCAGCCTTCCAGTCCGCACACACCCCTTCCTTTCCTCTAAAACAGCCTCCCCCCACCAACATAATCCAAAAACATTTGAGGAAATGGCCCTTCTGCTCTAAAAAACTGCCTTCAGCATGCCAGCTAAGCTCTCTCTGATGTCCTTATCTTGTTCAAAAAGCGCTTCCCACTGCCTCTCCTCATCAGACAACTACAATGTGAGAGTCCTGCAGGCCTGAGCAGACCTCTGCAGCTAACATTTCATCGCTTTCTTCTACCTTAGTGCTGGTTATTGTTCCTGTTTTTTGGGAGGAAAAGGGAGGAAGGACAGACTTTTTTATTTCATCGTATTATACCATGGCGCCTTTCCACGGACATATCTTTTTTTCTATCTGTAGTTATTTCTCTTGATATGAAATATGCCTTCCATGATAACAAAAAAAGGCTGCTGGTTTCCTTAGTGACCAAGAGTTTGACCACAGAGGCTAATTTTGGTGCTGCCAGAAAATATAGTAGCAAAACTTCAAGAGATGGGGAAAAAGACGAGTTCAAAATGTGCCTGATATTTTTCACTGATTTCCCTGAGTCATCATAGTGCTCTGATGATGTTGATGTTTAGATGAGACATCTTTGCACTATCGTGGCCATATATTCATAGAGAAAGGCTGAACCATCTTCAAAACAAGCAAACAATGAGACGGTGCATAATTCACACCTTGAAACAAGTAAATACTTTATTTGGACCACCTTGTAAACCAAATCCAGACATCTGTTTTGTACTTTTATTAGCTGTTTGCCACAAAAGTTAGCTAAAACTGGGACAAAGCGGTGCCTTTGTTACGCTAACTGGTAGCAGTGAACTGGTCCCCTGCTGGGCAGCTTGTATCTTTGAGGAACACAGGCCAGGGCTAAGCGTGCAGCATGTTCAGCCTCCTTCCCAAGTCTCCCTCTTTTTACTCCGCCGTATTTGTTCCTTCTTTTTCCAGCTCTTTATCCCCTTTTTTCTCTCACTTTCACCGTAATGCTAATTTCCTTCTGACTTGCTCAGCTTGTGTTCAAATGTGTCCAGTAGGGCCCCTCTTCCCTGCAGGACAGGCTCCCTTCTGACGTGCAGGGCTGAGAGTACGGAGATGTTGGTGAACCTGAGTATTACACAGCAGACTGGTCGATGGGGGGGCGTACAAATTAGAACCCACTTTACTGTGTAGATTCGGTCTACAAACTGACGGGCAGCAATTTGAAGTGAAAGATTAGAGACTAGTGGTGTAGTAGAGCATTAATGAGCTATTTAGACAGATAGTTCCCTCAGAAATTTGTAGAGATTAAAGATAAAGGTAAAAGATAGATTGTAATATTAAAAAATAATATCAGAGTTGAATGTAGTATAAAAATAAACAACCGTGGTTGGATCTGATGTAACTGTAGACAGTAAAACCCGGATGTAGCAGGAGTGCATCCTGAATGTTGTACTTTCTGACTTTAGAGTGAGCATAGTTTTAAAAAACAGACTTGCTGTTCTGTTCAGCAACACCTGAAAATGGGGACTGAGCCTTTAAAGCAGGGGTGGGGAACTCCAGGCTTTGAGGGCTGGTGTCCTGCAGGTTTTAGATATCACCCTGGGTCAACACCCCTGAATCAAATGATTAGTTCATTACCAGGCAAGGAGGTAATTTAGCCATTTAAATCAGCTGTGTTGGATCAAGGACACACCTAAAAACTGTAGGACACCAGCCCCTGAGGCCTGGAGTTCCCCACACCTGCTTTAAAGTAATCAAGTGTTTACTGAGCTCATGGAGCGAGATAGTTGAGGGTGATTTTCCCTGAGATTTCTGTCTTAAGATTACTGTTTTAAGGCACTTCCATGTCAGCTTCACTGCATCTGTTTTTATACTGTCTGCAGCTGCACATCTGATTGGTGCACAAAAGTATAGTCTGTGATTTAAATTCAGCGAGCAACATGAAAGATCATTGTATGAAGACAACTGTATTCTTGTGCAGTTTATGGGTCACCAGCCTCTCCCTGCCTCGGCCCATCCTCTTGTATTCTTGTATATGTCTACTACTCGACTGTGCCTGCTATGGTAGGATAGGAATGTACCGGGTTTGTAAATATAGAGGCACGATGTGTTTGTATTTATCGGCTGAAAAAGATATGTATCAGAATGAGTCACAAGTGTACGACTCCCCTACTCCCCCCTCCTATTCCCTCACCAAGTACTGTGAATTCCTACATGTCTCATTATTGTGAATAATAATAATGTATTTATTTATCAGATAGGAGTGTAATTGGGTCTTAAGAGTTTTAATCCTGAAGAGATTTCATCATCATCCATCTCAGGTTGTAGTGCACAGAAAACAAGATACTCAGACTTCTCAGTGCGCACTAACAAGTTTACTGAACCGAGAGCAAACCAACAGCTGCTGTTTATGTAGCCTCACACAGTGGAGATCCTGAATTACTTAAATATGTAGCAGAGCTGAAGTAGACAGAAGCATTGTTCAGTGACCTGGTCCAGAATAATAGGTAGTCCTAAAAAATGATTATGTAACAAAAAACATGTTTAAACTATGAAGAAAATGCTGACAAACAATCACACCTACATATTCCCTTTTGTCTTTTTCAGATGTGTTTACAGGAACAAAAAGATTTGTATATGTGAAAATACAGATTTATTCCCCACTTTTAGTCGTATTGGAGTGAGGCACGACACAGCAAAAAGTCGACACGTCAGTTTTTTGTTTGCTTGTCCCGTTTATTGGAAACAACTGCCAAGTTAAATTCTTTTGAGTGAAATAAAAAGGAATAGTTAAATAAAGCATCTGTGATTGACTTGAGAAATACATTCTTTTACCTAAAGTGAGGAAATCAAGAGTCAGTAGAGTGTGTGTGTATGTGTGTGTATATATATATATATATATATATATATATATACACACACACACACACACACACACACACACACACACACACACACACACACATATACATAGTTATAGTGTCAGGCTTCCTTCTTGCTTTCTTGTCTCCTTGCCTCAATTGCTGAGTAGTAGTGAGGTTTGTTTGTATTCCCAAAAGCTGAGATAATGATGTGCAGCTGGTATTAAGTCATTTTTGTGAGTTGCTCAACTTCGAGACACACAGTCTTATTACTTTAGCTCAACTGAGTGTGGTTATACAGGCACACAAATATCGTAACTAAGGATTTGGTTTCAGTCTGTGCATGTGGAGAGAATATTTACATCCTTTAGAAACACAGCTCTGCACATTTTTTTACTAAACTTATAAATACTCAGAAATGCAGGTTTCTGCAGTTTTTTGCACTCAAAGAAGTACAATCACTAAATCTACAGCAAGTGAAGGATCCATGTTTTTTAAATATGTGACATGGTAACAGCTCTCCAGTGTTGATTCCTCCATATAAACCATATATATCTGTGTATCTTCAAAATACACACCACACAAAGTTAAAATAGTCAGTTACAGTGTTACTTGATAGTGTTGCTTTTCTTCCATCTTTACAGTACGCTGCACAACAAAAACCTCCGTTTCTCCAACCAGTAATAGTGCTGTCATTTGTAAATCAGTACATTTTTATGTACCAATAACAATAAAAATCCCATGGCCAAAATTTCCTTCAAAAGTACAGAATAAATCCTTCACAGATTTTTCTTGGCCCTGGATTTGTGATTGTTAAACAACAGATGAGACTATTTCAAACATACATTTTGACCCAGTTTGAGTGAAATCACAGATGAAGATGGACAGATAGAGGACTCTGTGCCTGCACTCTAACTCCAGCTGATTAAGCATACAATGCAGGCCAGTTATTACAGAGCTCTATCAATAAAGTAAATCAAAGTAATGCAGACGCGAAGATTCAGAGTTTCTCCAGTGATGGTGATACACTGTGTTCCTGGTGCAGCTGGAAATACACTATATAAAATAGTGTAAAACATGTAATATATCCTATGATGAGACATTTTGAGTCCCTGACAGTGACCCACAGAAAAAAACCCTTCAAAGTAAACCTGAAACCCAAAACATGAGGTTTGCTGTGTACATGACTTCACAGGTAGTGTTAACAGTCTTCACTGACAATGTTTCCTGTTTAAAACACCATCTTTTACTCATATGCGTCTTTCTCACTGTTCGTGTTTGTTTACTTGAATGATGACATGGAACATTGCAAAGAATCCTTGGGGAGAGAAGATGCACGCACATACACACAAGCACATATTCAGGCATTGAGCAGCTCGTCTGCAGATCGTCCGATGGCATCAGGGTTGGAAAGAGGGTCGAGGTCTGCAAACAGGTTGAACCAGGCAGACATGTCTTTGGATCCCCCAGGGGTAGCTGCATATACACACACACATATTTATACATTTTATAAGTTTACTGCACAGCAGCCACACCTGGATCAGCAATATATTTAGCAAATATCAACTAATTAAAGTTACAGTACAGTCTCTTAACTGGCAGTTATGTGAGAATGCATCCAAGGCCATGGATGCATAAGATGCGTAACAAGGAACACAAATTACTTCCTCCAGGGAGTATTTTTAAGTAGTGTACTTTCTGAGGAATGAGGAAGAGCTTACCATTACCTGCAAATTTGGGAGCTGGCTGAGCTGATTGGTTTGGACTTTGAGGAACCTGCAGGGGTGGAGCTTGGAACATAGGAGGGGTTGCCCAACCTAAAAGGTAAACAGCCATTGTGAAGAATCCAGTAGCACAATCAGTTATCAGATAGTATGCTGCAGTAAGCAACATGTGGCTCACCTGTGGAACTCAAACTGTGATCCAGCAGCTGGGAGGGCAGAAAGCCTGTGGGGCTAGGGGGGTTAGAGGGTGGACGTGCTGCTGTTGCACCACTCTGTGCTCCTTGGCTGGTTGTGGGGACACTGGGAGAGGTAAACATCCCAAAAGCATCCTGCCATTCTTTGCTGAACTCATCACTAGCTCCTGAACCAGGGCTAAGAAGGTCTTTGAGGAAGGCCATGTCCCCTGGTTCACCGTCCTCCTGTGGCTGACGGCCAGTGTGCAGACTCCCATCTAGAGGGAAGGGGGAAGAACAGGAAAGTTATTAAACCAGAGACAAAACACATCCGAAACGAACAAAGTCAGATGAGGTCTGACCATGAAAAAGAGGACTAAAATTAGAACAGAAGGTTAAGACTTCAGTTCAGCTACTTGTTGAGTAACAACATGCAATGAGGGAAACGCAGCTATGTATCCGTCCTCTATAAAATGAGTCCGAAAATAAAGAGATGAATTGGTCCCAATTGCTTAATGTTAATCACACATTTAGAAAAGACTGATAGTGGAAGCAAAAAGACTGAACCCACAAGTTGAAACCTCAGTAGGAGTGAATTTCTGATGACACCAAGCAAAGTCAAGTAGGACGCCGACACTTAGTGAAGCAGGTTGAAGTTAGAATGAGAGGAAAAAGACAGCCAACCAGTTTACCGGTGGCAGGCAGCTGTGAGAGGCCAAACTCGAGGTTTCCAAAGCCCTGAGGCTGGTGTAGGGCATTTGCTGGGGCTGTGGGCTGTGGCATGTCACAGGCCATAAGCATCAGGTCATCATCAGAGCTTCTTGACAGTCCACTGAGGTTTTGCAGGGCTGGTGTGGATGTGATAGCAATTTGGTGAGCTGAGATCAAACGATCATAAAGCCAATAGACATCCATTCCACAATCAGCAGCAGCAATTCATGCATGCATGTTGTATTTGCACGAGTGCCAGCTACAGAACACAGTTAAACAAGCAGACAGTCACTTACCGCAGTCATCGGTCTGCCTCTGCCCATCACTACTGAGTGGGAGGTCTGGAAAATAAAACAATTCATTAGTAATGTGTAATTTGCTATTGACGATATTTTTCTTCCTCGATTTTATAGGTATGCTTGGATGCTTCGAGTGTAGCTGGTGCAGACTGCCTTTTAGCAGACAGGTGGCAGTACATACATGCATCGGTGGCACTTCCTGACAGGTTGTCATCATCCAAGGAAAGCAGACTAAGAAACGAAAGAGAGAAAAGGGTAAATAACGATAAAAAGTGTCTTATCAGGATGCTTTTGCTATTTATAGCAATGCAGTGGCCTTGATTTGATTTGGAGAAGCTTTTAGAAACCACTTGGGTAAACACTGCTCCAAGTCCTGATCGTACAAAAGGATTTCATGAGACACTTTTCAATTCAGATTTGTCCCATCATGTTCTCAAACCTTTCTGTGTTGCTCTGCAGTGCTGCCTTCTCTTTCTCCTCTTGTTTTTTAGAGTCTGAGATTTGCTCCAGGGGATCCCACAGATCCTGGGGGAAGTACAAACAGTGGTACATTTCAATCTATGGAAAACTTTAGATTCAAGTACTTTGAACCACTACAGTTTGGTGTTTAAGTAGAAGCAAAGGGCAACATTCTGAAATACCTTGAGTGTGGTAAACTGGTATGGTACATGTCCCTGGAAGGCCTTGTGGATTTCTGACATGGCCTGAGCAGTTTTCTCCCAGAACTGCAGCAGGGTGGTCTAACAGCACAGAGAAAGCCCAATCACTGAAAACATTAATTTTAGGAGTCCCTAAACACATCAGTCTTATTACAGGTTAGCTTGATCTCTCTTCAACAAACAAGAGCCTAAACTTAACTTATGACTTTTAGGCTCTGTGAATGGTACTCATGGTCACTGATTAGTGGTCTTTGATCAATGAGCTTTGATCAATAGTTGTTGATTAATGGTCATAAGAATTTGCATATTAATGATCAAGGAACTGACCTCCAAGCCCATTGTTCTTTCAGTGGTCCTAGTTTCAGCCATAAAGCAAATGTACTGTTTATAAGATTGGGGAAACCTACAGTCAGCTAAGACTGAAGAAGTCACTTGGATGAGTGACGAAACGTTTCTCTGACTGAAAACGCTACGTCCAGATGAACAGAATCAACTTTTAGGGCCTGAGTGTTTTTACACAGCAGAAAAAAAAAAAAAAGATTACATTACAGTGGGTGAAATAATTATTCACCACTTACTACATTTGTAAGTTTGCTCACTTACAATGGAAAAAGTCAGTTTTAGCTTTTGCCAGCTTGCTCCTACAAGAGGTAAAGACCCTACAATAATACAAAGAAACCCCAACAATCAGACAGCTTCCTATGAGCGAGCACTATTGCAACAACGGGAAGGAAAAACTCCCTTTTAACAGGATGAAACCTTTGGCAGAACCAGGCTCAGGTAAGACCGGCCATCTGCCACGACTGGTTGGAATTTAGTCGCTTTAAAAAACAAAACAAAAAAGCTCAAGAAACATTTTCAATTCAATTCAATTCAATTCAATTTTATTTATATAGCGCCAAATCACAACATAAGTCGCCTCAAGGCGCTTCATTTGGGACAGAGTTAATCGTCAGTACTCGTACTAGACTTCATTACATTTAGAAGTGTTCCTCACATTTTGTCCACCGCATTAACAAAGTGGGGAAGCCATTCCTAGAAATAATAAAAACTTGTACCTGGTAGGTACAGAGGGAGTGGGAGAGCATATTGCAGCGGCTTGCTCCCAGCATGTCCACCTTCTGACACACATCGTTCTTCAGCTTTTCAAACTGGCTCTTTGTCCCTCTTACCTGGGCCTGGACCTGTGGACAAAAAGACATCTGCATTATATACACATACATACACAGAGTACTGCAAAAGAAAACCAACCCGAACAAATGGGCCACATCATGCCTTGCGAAACTTTTCCAGCTGTTTGTAGGTGTCTGGGTCGAGCTCTTGGGAGATATCTTTCATCCAGAGCAGAGCTCCTCTGTACTCTGTGCGAGCCTTCTCCATGCAGGTTACTGTCAAAAGTGTGTCCGAAATGGCACGCCGCCGGAACGTCTCCACTTCCTGGTGCAAACGGTGCAGTGACGGACAAAGTGCCATCCTGAAGAAAAAAGACAGGAAACAGTTCGTGTTTGTGTACTCGCATTTTTATAGCGCATAATCACTAGTGCCAGTGTTCTCTCCTGCTGCTAACCTCTGTTTGGCAGAGGCACACAGAGCCTTGCTAGTGGCATCCATCATGTTTCCAGCCTTTGTGCGATCGTGCTCGGCTTGGAATCGCAGGAACAGGCCGAGCTCATTCTCCTCTTGAGACAAGCCTGAAGAAAGAGAAACGAAGACAGCTGCACAATGAAATCGCAGGACTTTCATAAATGAGTGACTAATGCAGTTTGATAGATTCTCATAAACCTGCAGCACTAACACTGCTAAAGAATAAAGCTGCACACTCAAAAAAACTTTAGATAATTTCTTCAATCAGCTCTCCCTAGTTTTTAGCAGGAATTACTCGAGTGCTATATGTGCTACATCATGTGCTTCACACTTCAACTTACGAAATGTGACAGCAGCTCACACTGAATGATGGAAAATGCCTTTCATTTACTTACACTATTAAATTCTGGAAAGCTGCACGCATCAACAAAATGTTCACCCATAATGTATGTTGTATGTTCACCCATAATGTATGTTGTATGTCTCCGGAGTGCTCTGATATAGCAACGCCTGGAATTCCTACCTCATTGAGAAGCTGACTCAGAATCTGACTCACGTGTGATCCTGTGCTGATACTTCTCGATCACCTTCAGCAGCTCTGTGCACGTAGACTGAACGGAGCGGAAGAACTGCAGAGACAAACGGGAACGATCTTGAGAGCTTTTCTTAAAACATCTCCTTTTGATGAACCTTTTTGCTTTTTTTTTTGAAAGTCAAGTTTTGTTCTTTAACAGTGCGACGTTTGCTCCTCTTCACTGCTGACAATCACAAAACAGAACAGATTTTTATGGCCCTTTCCATCTGTTGTCAGTGAGCTGCCTCTTCTCCCGCCTGGTAGACAACAGCAGTGACTACATGTGTCATAGCAACACATATTCTGAGGCCATTTTAGTGCTGCTGTCTGACAGAAAGGAAAGGGTCACCTTGATCTCTAGAGTCTGCTGAAGAATAGTAAGTAGTAGTTTAAAAAATAAATAAATAAAATAGTAGCACTACAGTATAGAAAGTACATGTACACTCTATTTGTATTACTAGAGCTATTTTATAATATACTGCAACACTGAACATCGGTTCTTTAACTTGTTAGTTACTGTCTTGGAGCAACTGTGTCCACATAATTTCCTCTGGGTTTAATAAATTATTCCGATTCTTTGTCTTATTCTTAGCAGAGAGACGGGCTCACTGAAGATTGTGAGACAGCAGAAGTTGTGGGTGTGCTGAACATGTGTAGTTACTCTTTAACTGTAGAGTAAACAGTCATTAACTTTAATCTGGACCTCAGCGGTGGCCAAACATATCAGCATACAGGTGACTTCTCCTGCACAACGCCTCTAAGTAAAACGAGCATTCCTAACCAAGCTTTGCACTTACTGTGATTTTCTAGAACATAAACACAATGACACAGAACAATATATACAAAATTCATTAATCATGAATTCCATTCTTCTATATGCAATATAACAATGTGCTGCTCCGTAAATATGACGGGAGGTTTTATTTTAATAGATTACGTGTCACAAATCAATACTAGCAGAAAGAGCAATCTGAAGACGCACAGAGGTACCTTTTGTCTGTCTCACAGGGGGATGAATTTCTTCTGTTCTCCTGAGAGCAGAAGAACAGAAGAAAGATAATCTCGTACCAGAGCAAAACAAAGGCCTTTAGGGCAGAACCTGCACGACTAAATAACAGCCGTGTTTCAGCAAACCCAGAGAAGTGCTCTTCTTTGACGAGAAGTAAAAGAGCACACTGTACCCCATCCAGCTGTTGTTGCAAAAGTCTCATGAATAATTAGCACTCATGTAAGTGGACAGGGAAAAGATCTCTGTAAGCAATGGACACCAGGAAACAATGCACTGTAGGTAAGAGCTTTTCGGTTGTTATTTTGATATGTGTGATTCCTTTTATTTTCCTCTCAGCAGCAAAACAGCAGGCAACAGAGTTTACGACAGTTTAAAGATGCATTCATTATTTTGATATTCAGATTACTGCTGACTACTGAGTGATCAAGGCCACAGTTGCTTTAGAGACCTTTGAAATGTTCTCCACTCACCTACAAGACTGTGAACACTAAACAGTTATTTTATCTCTAAGAAGAGATATCCAATACTGTCTGCCTTCTAATGAACCGCATTTCACTTATTCTAGCTGTTGTCTTGTGAAAAAGGTGAGCTATTTAAAAAAAAAAAACAACAACAACAACAGGTAGGTGGAAGAGTTTGTGATCTGTACTAAACTTGCAGATGCAGTTTTCTCCAGGAGCAAATGGACGTGAAGCCACCGGGGCAAATGCTGGTTCAGTGCTGTGCTTTTAACTCAAGCAGGGAGTTTAGCACTCCTGTGGTTACTCAACTGAAACCAAATCCTTCCCTTGGGAAAAGGAAAAAATCCTTAGGAAGTTAGCCTAAGTACTATACAGCAGAGAACTTGTTTATTTAGACAAGACAAGAATATTTTCTTGTCTAAATAAAAAAAGTTATCTGCTGTATAGTACTCAGACAAGAATATTTTCTTGTCTTCAAACTTTTTCTAAAATATCAATGTATTATGTGAAAACAGAATTAATGTTTTGTGCTTTCTTTGTGAGTTAGCAGGACTTTGTAGGGGGTTTTATTTTGAAAGGTTTTGAAAAGAACAGGATAAAATCGCAAGTTCATCGCTGTATCTTAAACAGCTGGCTTGCTCACTGCTGAATGGGGCAAGGTTGTTTCCTGGCATAGATTCCCGGCCTCCCAGAGAAAAGAATGGAGGTCGACACCTGCGCCTCACAAGCCACAAGTTAGAATTAGGGTTAACTGTAACCCCATTAATACATATACTATATGTATTCATTTATCCTCTCCCAATTACATCTGTCATCCACCCATCTGCCCTCCACAATCCCAATGTCTCCTGACCTAAAACAGCTAAGTTAGGATAAGTTATGGCTATCTGTGGAAGACAGAAGAGTCGAACAAGATCAAACCAATATGACGGAAAATAAAGGAAAAACAAACATCCTGTAGTTCCTGTGCTTAAAGCCATTCCTCAAAACTTCAAGTTTGTGAGCTGCTTTTTTCCTACTCTGGAAGCTGTTATTTAATTTTAAAAACTGTATTTTCTCAAAAGAATTTCTTTTTCTTGAACAGCCCCAGGCTCTTTTGAATAAATTCCTCATTTTCCTTCAAATTTTGAGCAATGAATATCATCTTGTGTGTCGCCAAATATTAAAACACTCTTAAGCCTGTTCTTCCCCACCTCAAGCTTAGCATCCAGGTCAGCATCCGAGGCCACCACATACTCATCCTCCTTCTTGCCTGTGGCTTTGATGAGGACCTGTTTGGTCTTCCAAAATTTCTTCTGCATACGGGCCATCACTGAGCTGTCCTCGCCAAGCAGAGCCCGGCCACCACTCAGCATGTCTCCGGCAAACCTGGAGCCAAGGACATGACGTTGTCAGCAACATTTTTTACCAGGCTGTGTGTGTGTGTGTGTGTGTGTGTGTATAAATTGTGTATGAATTGCATATAATGCTCACAATAATAACAAATTTTCACCTACCCGTCCATAGTAGATAACCACTGTTCTAAAAGTATACAAAACAACAGTTTAGACAGATGGAGAGAATGGTAGCATAAAGCATAAATTAATCATTTTAGGTTTCTGTCTAGGTGAAGATTCCTCAACGCAAAAATACATAAGCAGACAGCAGATATGATAGGGGGGGAAAGGGTTTTGTACAAAAGTGAATAAAATCCATCTATTCAACGTTTAACACATCATTGAGTAATAAAAGATATTCCTGCAGTTTAGCTTCCTGTATGACTTCGATGTACACACAAACACAAAAAAGCAGTAAACATGCCTGAAGCCTGAGCTGACATATAATCAAGTTACAAACGCTTATGTGGGTTTATTTTGGCCCAAACGCCTCGGTGCTGAGGGCTAAAGAAGCTAATCTAAAATGCCTCGAATATGGAGCAGGGATCAGACACCTGCGACTTCAAGGAGTCAGGGAGAACTGAGACAGCTGGATATCGAGCATTACATTTCAGCAAAATAGAGCTCTCTGACACGTAAAACCCCCCCAAAACCAGGTGTCGTTCGGACATTTATCTACACAGAGTACAATTATGAAAGGGTAAACACGTAAACGAAGTAAACGAACTAAGGAACCGCAAAGGAGCTTGTGTGCTAGCAGCAGTTTAGCTAGTAGCAGGCTTGATGGTTAAAGCTGCGAAACGTCTTGAGACCATCTAACTGAGCGACCGTGCGTTTTACTGAAAGTCTTTCATTGTATGGCTCCATCCTCTGTAAGGTGAAAACAGTGTTACCTTTATTTACTTTCTCTCCAGCACTCTGTGCATGTATTCAGCTCAGCTAGCCTCCTCTGACGATAGCCATCACCATCTGAGTAACAGAAACAGGATATGGTTAAGCAGCTGCAGCGATGTATGAACACTAGAAGCCGCTGTTAGACAGCTGAATTCAAAGATCGTCTGTTGACAGGATAACCTACCAGAGGATAATCGGTTCTTTCCTCCGATACGTAAAGATGGACGTGAGTTGGACGTGATTGGCGTGATAAATAAATATATAGCATGTTAAATCTATATGTGTTCTACGTGATAATGTCAAAAGAAACTAGCAATTCTGATGGTCGTGATACTGGCTATATGAGTCAGTCTATAAATAGTGAATGTAACTAAAATTCAAAATGAATGTAGATATAATTATTTATTATAAATGAATGAGTCCCTTAGGAACTTCAGCACCAATATGTTGGAAAGCTTATCTGGTCATATCAGTTGGTTTCAGTCGTCAAGTTGTTAAGAAAGTTATGTTAGGCATATTAATCAAGGAGGAGTTGGAGCTCCTTTTTTCATCACACCTCCACTGACAAACCAGTTGGAGGAAATAGGCAACAGGTTGACTTTGGCTCTTGAGAAATATGAGGAAGTTTATAATGTGTTAAACATTTTTAAAAGGTAGTTTATTAATATAAACCTTGAGGTTGCCCAACTGATGTTGTGTAGGCATTTTGCTAATTGAAATGAACTGAACGATCCTCTCTGCAGACCTGATTGCCCATTGTCCTTCTTCGCGGCTGAGCAAAACCAAACAGTGACTGGTGTGCAGGACAGACTGGATGATGGTGGTGTAGAAGATGACCAGCAGCTGCTTCCACTGACAGTTCTGATCTGTCAAATGTTTCTTTAACTTGAGTAACTGGAAGACTAGTCAGGGTTGAGGGGAAGATGAATCAGTACAGTGACATCCTTGATATCCTGCTCCAGAGCACACACACACTTTATAAACTGTTATATATAAATACTGTATAGTTAAATGAAGGTGAGGAGACAACATTTTAGGAGAAAGATTTAATTTATAATCTGTTTGGATAACACTGAAACGAGGACGAGCTGTAAGAACATTTGTGTAAAACGAATCAGGAAAGCAAAGAACAAAGCCAAGATATTTGTCCAACACTTTGAAGTCCTTGATTTAAGTCCTGAATATTGTCTTTGTGTCTGTCTGTCCAATGTGTGCTGAATCTTTATGCCTCTGCCTGTTGGGCTGAGTATCTGTAGGTGTACAACTTGTTATCTGCGCCTCCACTCAGCATCAGCTGCAAACAGAAACAGAGAGAGGACACTGTGAGAACATCACTGTTTCCATCTATCAACTGTTGGTGTGCAAATATCGTACACATCGTACCCCGCTTTCTGTCCAGTCCACACAAAATACTTTGTCTTCATGGGCCGCCAGGTCATACAGAGGAGCCTTACAGCTGGGAGACAACAGAGAAATGTTTTAAATATGTAAAGAGTAGAAAATATTTCTGTTAAAGAAGTAATCAGAACAATAAATACTTAGGTCAAGTACAGATGCCTGAAAATTCTACTTAAGTACAGTAACTAAGTATTTGTACTTCAATACTTCCACCTCTGGTCATGTCCCATTAGAAATATGTTCCTTGTGACTAGAGCGGAGCCCTTAACAGTAGTACCAATTATGAGCTTCACTTACCTTCTGGTATCCCAAAGTTTGACTAGGTTGTCAAGGGAACCCGAGACCAACTGGTGCGCATGTGATGGTGCCCACTTGACAGCAGTAACCCAGCCAGTGTGAGAGGTCAGCGACAGCAGAACAAGAGACCCATCTGAAAGAAGAGTTGTAAAGATGACAAGAGTGACAAACAACAATACAAGTCGAAACATAGATGTCTGTGACATTTAGAACAGTCGTACCTTTGGTGCGAGGGTCCCACAGTCGGATGTGTCTATCGGTGCTACCTGAGGCCAGCCGTCGACACAAAGGTGAGTAGGAAATACAGTTAAACACTTTGCTGCCCGTCTGTGAAAAGAAAAACAGTGAAACTGGTAAATACTGGAAAACTGAGTATATAATAACAAAAGGTAAACTTGGTGGTTGATAAATATGCTATTTCAAACTATTTGAGATGTTAACCGAGTTTTGAATTAGTCTGCAACCCTAATTTTTCTTAGGATTGGGACATGCATTGCATACATCCACTACACACAGGCATATAGCAGTAATATGTAGTGTATGTCACTGGTTTGATTTCCTCTATTATAGGCATTTTAAATCACTCATACACTGAAGAAACAAGTCAAATTGTGGCTCTGAGTCTTTTTTATCATTTATACCTGTGTTTCACCCTCTGTGACATAGCTAATAGAATAAAAGCCTGTAAATGGTAAATGGCCTGTATTTGTATAGCACTTTACTTAGTCCCTATAGACCCCAAAGCACTTCACACTACATTCAGTCATCCACGCATTCACACACATGTGATGGCAAGCTACATTGTAGCCACAGCTGCCCTGGCGCACTGACAGAGGCGAGGCTGTCGGAGACTGGCGCCACCTGACCCTTTGACCACCATCAGTAGGCAACGGGTGAAGTATCTTGCCCAAGGACACAACGACCGAGACTGTCGGAACCGGTGCTCAAACCGGCAACCTTCCGATTACAAGACGAACTGCCAACTGTAGGATGATGCTCATTAATCTGTCACATGAAACAACCAAAAGTGTTTATTATCGCTAATTCAGTCACTTTCTATTTTTCTCACCAACGTAGTTTTCATCCCTCCAGTATCGACGTCCCATATGCGGATGGTGTGGTCCCAAGACGCACTACAAACCTCCTCACTGTCACACCACAGGACAGATGACACTGCCTCGCTGTGTCCCGATAATGTCATCAAGGGAGTCTGTGCCCAAGAAAACAAAAACTCATTTTGCAATGACTTAGTGGGCTTATTCTCCAGTCAATCATACTCTGGTTGTGCACTCACCCTGGTAAGGCCAAGCTGCTGAGTCTTCTGTTTTTTCCTTGGTCTGTCAGCCGGCTCCTCGATCTCATCTTGCTCATCTGTAGGCACTGACAGCACAGGAAATATAGTTTATAGCAGCATCACAACAATACCTTTTTTAACAATAAAGAGGCCTTGAATCATTCTGGGATCATACCTGCTGACCAGATCTTCAACATTTTGTCCCAGGAGCCACTGCAGAACTGAAAGTGTTTACCACAAACATCCAAAGTCATTAATCGCAGCACTCTTTGTTGTCTTTTAAGTTTTTGTCTTGCCTTCTCCAACCTTACCTTCGTTCCTGTGGGGTCTACAGAAATGGTGTCAACACTCCCCGCGTGTCCACGACAGCAATGTCTGGCTTTCACCTTGTTTCTCTCCGAGTTCCACTCCCACAGTAACACGGTTTGGTCCAGAGAGGCCGTCAGAAGCAGAGAGGTCAGACCCTCTACACAGAAAACATCCACAAAGAGGACTTAATAAAGCCTTTGACTATTAACATAGCAGTACATGTCTGTTTCATTTTGTCCCACTTACCTCTTTTGACCCAGGCTACGTCTTTGACCACATCTGTATGTCCAGCCACAGTCATCGCAGGCTTGCCCTCAGTAGACCAAATTCTGGCAGTCTTGTCGTATGACCCTGTTAGGATCCTGCAGGGGAAAAAATAAGGGTCATTCCATTTCAAATCATTATGAGCCTTCTGCTCAAACATCTTCAGTTTCACTAAAGATTTTATGGATATTGTATATAAAAAAAATGTTGCTGTGAAATTTTATGTTCATATAGAAGCTTCGAGCTTCTGGTTCTTTGTCATGTACAAGAACTGAACTGAAAAAGAAGCCAATGTCTAAAGACAAATTAGACAAGACTTTCAGAAAGCCTGCAGCACTATTGCTCTGGACCATTTTAAAAGGAATAGAAAGTCTGGCTCCTTGGAAGTAAAAGATAAAGAATAAGGGGTGGTTTAAGACTTTTGTTTAGCTAATGAACAACCAAGAAGACAAAAAAAGAAAATATGAACACATCACAACAAACTTTTTGCTGATCTAATTTCCCAATTAATAAAAAGCACACTGATGGTCTGCTCTTAACCATCTTACCATTCAGCATCAGCATCTACAGAGCTAATCCAGTCATCATGCATCATACACTCCTCGGGTTCTGGGGCCGTGATCCGCTCCACATATTCTATCTCCACAACTTCTTCCTGGAACATGGGCAAACAGAGTAAAACATCTGGTTAATGTTGTTTTACTCATGTGGATGCTTGTGACTCGCTTTATACAATATATCCATACGAGTTTAAGCACTATAGCAGGCCATACCGTTGATATACCCTCTGTCGCCATGTGAGTTGACAGTGAGGTTCGCAGGAACTGACCCCTGACCAGGAAGTCAAAGTCCACTTTACTGTGAGAAGCTGTTAAGAGAACCAAATAAATTATCTGAGATTTTTAGAAGTACAGTCTGTGATAAGGACTACATTTGACATACACATACACAAACATATAGCACAACCATTTAAAAATACTACTAAAACTAAATCTACAGAACAATCAGGTGCCACAATAAGATACCACACACAGTATTTGTGCCAGTGCAAAAAATAGTTTGTCTGCTACAAGAAAGTGGAGAACACCACAGGCCTAAACCCTGCAGGCCTAACAGCACGAGGTGCATCACTCAGTCTGTTCTTCACCTGGAGACACTCGTTCTCTCTTTCTCTCTCCCGCAGCCGTCATTCCGAAAATGTTCACCTCTTCCTAAATAACCAAATCCCATGTGTTGCCAAATAATTTTTTATTGGTCAATATGGTACACTTTTACACTAATACAAGAGGGGTGGCATTTTTTCCTGATCTTTTTTTGTGCTGTCCTTAGAAAACAAACTTTTTACCATTTCATCCCACATTAAATGTGACAATAGTAGAAAAATGCATCACATGTATTTTTATGATTGTAGCTCCGGATTTAGTGGCCTATCAATAAAATTTAAAAACTGGTGTATAGTTTGAAGTCTGAACTTTCAACACAAGTTGAATGGAGATTAAACGTGGCTGCAGCTTGTTGCTATGGCATCTTAAATCGGTCAGGTGATTTGGAGATGAGGCGTGTCCATAGACCCCAGAGTGTAACAATCAATGCATGTGTGAAATCTAAAAATG